CCCGTCCACCCAAACTCGGCTTTCTCTCTTCCTTTGTCCAGCCTGAGACTGTGCGGCCACGATGTCTGGGTCCTATTTGTCAGAAAGTTTTTGAGGACCTAGCCACAGGCTAGCAGGTCCAGCCCCTCCAGGATGGCAGTTTTGAAAAGGGGGAGCCACCCAAAGGAAGGGTCACTGTACATGATGTGCAGACCCTGTACAAATACTTTCTAAATAAGAAGGAGTGTCACTGGGACCGGGGTTCAGAGAGAGAGAGAGAGAGAGAGAGAGAGGAACCTCGACTCAGGTCCTAAGGTTCTTGACTTTGTCCCAGAAAGGAATTTAGGGACCTGTCAAAGTGAGGCACAGACTGATTTTATTGAGAAAAACAAAAGGTGCACACAGTGAGAGACAGGGCAGGGTCCCCAACAGCAGGCCCTGGGGAGGAACACACTAGCTACACACACCTTAGCCAGACTTATTTATATATATATGTAAAATCTGTGACAAGTCCCACTAATGTGTATACTAAGGCAGGAGGATCACGAGTTCAAAGCCAGCTTCAGTAAAAGTGAAGTGCTAAGCAACTCAGTGAGCAGCTCAACTCTGTCTCTAAATAAAATACAAAATAGGGCTGGGGATGTGACTCAGTGGTCGAGTGCCCCTGAGTTCAATCCCAGGTTCCCCCCAAAAAATAAATAAATAAATATATTCATATATATAATCATGCAAAAACATCTATAGTACAAAGACATGATCTAAGAGGATATTTTAAGTCTTCCTTAGGGTTGGTGACTGGACATGTTAGCCATTACCTACTAGGGGTCATTTTTCTTTCTTTTTTTCTTTGATGAAAAATCACTGTCATTCCCACCAGGCGGTTTACTGTTCTGCTTTGTGAGCTTACACAGCACTACACCACTGGTGGAGAGTTCAGGGTTTGCTGGAAAGTGTGATTAAGAGTATAAGTAGGGGCTGGGGTTGTGGCTCAGCGGTAGAGCACTCTCTTGCCTAGTCTGTGGGAGGCCCTGGGTTCGATCCTCAGCACCACATAAAAATAAAGGCACTGTGTTGTGTCCATCTACACCTAAAAAAATAAACATTTACCCCAAAAAAGAGTGTAAGTAATCAGGTCCTAGAAATATAAATCACAATTCTCCCACTTATTGAGCAAAGGCATTCTCAGACCTGTTTTTCTTTTAGGTCCAGGTCAGGAAAAAAAAAAGTTTCTTATTATAAGGTGTAATAATTAATTTAATAGTGTTGTTGGTGACCAGAGTATTTGAAAGTGACCTTTAAATGTAGACTTTTAATTCATGTGAAAGTAGACATCACATATGATATATATACATGATATATATGTGATATATAAAATATCAATACATATATATTACATGCACTATATATATATATATATATATATATATATATATGCCTAATCACTACATATCATTAGCATACATTATATATGATATATTTCCCAGGATATATTACACTTATTTTGTATATCAATCACTATATATATTTTAGCATAATCTCTGGAAGTAAGAAAGTAAGACTGATTCTAAATATTAGTAGAGTTAGCAAATTTTTCTTTTGTGATGTTTAATTTTTCACATTCGCTTCACTAGGTTCTTTGCTCAAACATTAGTGTAATGTCACTCTGATGTCGTTTTCTAGATCAATAGACTTAGAATGAAGCAGAGTCTGGCCCACATTATTAGTAAACCTCATTCAGTTAGTGGAAGTCCTTAGGAGAAAAGACCGAGGTCCCCAGGTGAGAAAGGAATTACTGTCCACTCTGACTGCAGCATGACACAATGAGAAAGGAATTCTCCCTCCAGACTGCCTTCACCACAGTAAAGAGTGCACCCTCAACCCCCGAAACAGTTTCAGGCTGCTGGCCTGTGCTGGAGCCTCATGTTAGCCAGCACCCCCCCCCCCCACACACACACACACACACGAGCCAGTTTCTTTTTTTTTAAAAATATTTATTTATTTATTTTAGTTTTTGGCGGACACAACATCTTTGTTTGTGTGTGGTGCTGAGGATCGAACCCGGGCCGCAGGCACACCAGGCGAGCGCGCTACCACTTGAGCCACATCCCCAGCCCCGAGCCAGTTTCTTAAAATAAATCTTTTTCCTTCTAATTCAACCTGTGTACATCCTATTAGTTCTCTTTCTCTGGGGTACCAGGAGTAATAGTAATAGTAATTCATATTTGAGAAAATATGAGTCATTTAAAGGAAAAATGTTAAATAAAATATTTGTGGGGCCTAGCCTAGGTGGAAACAGGGTGTCAGGCATCTTTCTGTGTGGACCCCAAACTCACGGACTGACTTGCTTACACTAGAGGCAACCGCTGGAGAGCAGATCACATCTCACCTGAGTCACCTGTACCTGGGCATGATAACCTGTTTGTGGCTGAGTCAGCTCTACTGTAAAAGGAGTATAATAATCGTGTCTCTCTGGCAGAAATACATGTGGGGAACATTATCCTACCTTCAGACAAATAAGCCAGGCCTGTCAAGTACCCTGTATTGTCCTCATCTAATACCTTAGCATGTGACCTGTGGGCCAGACCATCTGTAGCTTCTGAACTGTGAGAGATAGGGTTTGCCATCTAGTGACATCGCGATTTGGCAGCTATGACTAGGGCAAGAGGCCAGACCTCTGATGGCTGAGTTGTACAACCTTGGGCAAGTTGCTTAGCCACTCTGAAAGAATACAATTACACCAGTCCCCTCACGTTAACTCTCTCCTGTGGGAGGTTCCTATAATAGGAGATGGCAGGGCTTTTGTGTTTGTTGAAATGCCGCAGCCTTGCCTGATCACAGAGGGCCTGGTGCAGATCCTCTACCCTTCCTGGGAACCCAGGCTCCTGCCTCTCCCAGCTGTCACCCAGAGTTCTCCTTCCCAGGCAGATCTTTCCCCAGGGTTTGTTGAGACAGGGACTGTCTCTCCAGAAAGTCCATGTGGACAGACTGATCATAACTGTCACGGATGGTAAGCCCTAGGTAGGAGTCGGGAGTCTGTCTCACTTAATCTCTACATTCAGGTGTATCTCCTGGGAGATACACATGAGGAGCTCTTATGGAATCTGCAAGTTCTGTTCCTACTCTGTGCCATTTGCAAATAAGCAAACTGTTCTGGGAGCAGACAGGAAACTCGATCCCATGGCTAAGGAGTGGAGAAGGAGCCTGCGCTCCAAAGGCCCCTCTCCCCAGCAGGTCTGGGGTCAGGGCTTCCCTCGGGCTGGGTGATGAGGGGTGTGGCAGTGTGCTGCCATCAGAGCCTCTCATGGGAAAGGGGAGGTTTCCAGAGATCAGGGTGCCAGTGTCTTTTATTGTCTAATTTGGGCAGGGTCAGATCTGTCCAGATGCTGATGCGTATTTTGTTTTATTTCATTTTTTATCAATATAATGAGATTACAATGAGCCCAAGATCATCTGAGGTGTCAAGGTGGTATGTGAGCTATATGGAACCTTGAGGAGCCCCCTTGTGGTTGGGGATGTGTCCCCTCTGGAGCAGGTGGTGATCATCAACCAGGCTTTCACTTCCGGTCAGAGGCCTCTGACTGACAGGCTAACAGTAATTCAGGGTTCACTCTAGCAACAGAACTGGAGGTTCAGAGAGGTTCAGTAACATGCCCAGGCCACACACAGCTGGAAAGGGTGTGAACCAGGGCTGCCTGTCACCAAATCTCATGCCTTCTTGTTAGGAACCAGAGCTCAGGTTTGGCCTTTACTTCTGGCCAAGAGCCTTCCTCTTTGAACATCAAATGCACTCGCTTAACAAATAGCTGGGAGGCACTAACCATTGATTTTAATTATAGGTCTCCCAGATAAACCGCACCTTCCACAGTGCGGAATCCACCCTCACCCCTGCGTGGGCAGACACTAGGTACCTCCTCCTGACCTGAAGCTCATGTTCACTTATCTTCCCAGGAAAATGCTGGGCAAGTCTCTCCAAACCCCTAGTCCATTGGCCAGTCTGAAGTAGCTAGGGGCTGGGATGTAAAGGACAGCAGATTTCAACCGGACTTTGGGAGGAATTCCAAGTCACAACGGGGAGCTCTCAGAGGTAGAGTCCTAAGGGTCCCATCAGTGTCCTGTGCAAACCAAGACTAAGGCTCTTTGTGGGGAGGTGCAGGCCAGCAAGCTGCCTGATCACTTCCAGTCTGCAATGCACACCCTTGAATGATGTTTGGTTCTATTTTTCCTGTTGTTTTGTTTACCACATATTTATGTACATTTTCCTATTGACTCAAAAATGGGATTCGTATATTTTTTTCTTTTGGCAGTACTAGAGACTGAACCTAGGGGTGCTTTATCACTGAGTACATCCCCAGACCTTTTGATTTTGAGACAGGGTCTCACTAAGTTGTGAAGTCTGGCCTTGAATTCGTGATCCTCCTGCCTCAGCCTCCCAAACTGCAGGGATTACAGGCAGGCACCATAGTGCCTAAATGCGTGTATATATTTATTTATTTTAGTTGCCAATGAAACTTTATTTATATGGGGTGCTGAGAATCAAACCCAGTAACTCTCACATGCTAGGCAAGCCCTCTACCACTGAGCTACAACCCCAGCCCCTGTTCATTTTGTTATTAACTCATTTTTACTAAAGTTTGGATCTGTGATTGATAGAAGATAAAATCTTATTGTTTACACAGGGATTTAAGAAGCTCCATATAAGATTGGAGCAAATGGAGTTGGATCCCACACCCTTTGTTTCTTAAACCTAAGACCCAATGGGGAACTGAAAAACCAGGGAATAAAGATTTGCATAAGTTTTCACTGCGAAGGGAATTCTGTAACTGTCCCCCAAACACACGGTAGGATCTGGTACACCACCCTGTGTTGTCCCCAAGCTGAGGCTCAGTCATGTCGCCTGGTTTGCCTGAAAGCTCTCGGTTTGCAAGAGGCTTACATTGGAATCCAGAGCCGGACCTGCATCCCCCATTCAGTCCCTCACCCCGGCCTTTCTTCTAGGGACACAAAGGAAACCGGAGTCAAAACCAAGTCAACAACTTTTATTGTCAGTTACATATTTTATAGAAAAAAAATGTAGGAAATGGGTCAGGATTGTAAAAAAAAAAAAATCCGGGCTTCTTCATGTTGTTCTATTTACACGTGGAAGCGGGGCTCCCTCCACATCAGGCGCAGCAACTGCACTTTTCCACTGCCCCTTTGCAGACGCAGCCCTTGGCACACTTGGCACAGCCCACGGGGCAGCAGGAGCAGCAACCTGCGGGCGAGAGGCGACGGCGGCGGCGATGAGAGCCAGGGAGAAAGGGCTCGAGCATCCCGCCCTTCCGGACCCGGACCCGGACCCCTGCGGCTGCGGAGGCGCGGACTAGCGAGAGAAGGCGACCCCCGGGCTGCTTGAATCATCCCGCGGACGGAGTAGAGGGACGGGTACGGGTTGGGGGACTAAGGGGGCGGGTCAGGGGCAGAGAGACCCCCACTCACTCTTCTTGCAGGAGGTGCATTTGCACTCTTTGCATTTGCAGGAGCCGGCGCAGGTGCAGGAACCACCTGGAGGAAGAAAGGCGGGGGTGAGGGAGGCTCCCGGACACCCGAGCGCGGGGCTGCGCGCTAGGAGTCCGGGTGTGAGTCCTTCAGTCCCACCAACAGCTCGTGGGAACCTTGGAAAGCCACTAACTCGGTGGCTTCTTGGTAAAACGGGGCTCCGAATACTCTATAACAGAAACACACCAGAGCGCTTTGGGAAGGGGCGGTTAGAGGTTGAGGGCTTGGAGAAAGAGGGACGAGAAATTGCCTCCCCCGACCCACGACGCGGTCCCGGTCAGTTACCGGTGGCGCAGGAGCAGTTGGGGTCCATGGCGAGCCGAGGCAGTGGCTGGAGGCTGGAGTCGGCAGACAGAGGCGGCTGGATGACAGGATCCGGAGGAGGCGTGGTGCAGCGGAGCACGCCGCGCGCTGCCTTTATAGCCGCCCGAGCCGGGGCGAGTGCAAAAACTCCGCGCGGGCCGGGCGCAGCCTGCGCTCGCCAAGCGCTGAGTCACGCGCTGCTCCGCGCGGCGCCCGGGGCCGAGCGCAGCAGCCTGTGCACACGGACCGCAGGGAGCCAGTTCCCGGAAGGCGGCCCAAGTGCACGTCCAGGCGGGAGCCGCGCGCCGCGGGCTGAGTGCAGAGGGATGCCGTGTGCCGAGAGCCGGGCCGTGTGGCGCCCGCTGCCCCCGGCCCCCGCCCGCCGCCGTGTGCACCGCTCCCTGCCGCCTGTCCTGTGTCTGAACCCCAGCGATCAGGGAGCCGGCTTAAGCTGGTCGTGGGGATTCCCATCGCAAGTGCGGACAGGTCCCCCAAACCTTTGAACCGTTCAATGCTTAGTGTCGCATCCTGTGGGATGGCGTCACGCCCGCTCTATGCTGACTGCTTTAGTGTTCAACTGGGATTTTCAGTGTATTATGGGCGAGATCTCTTTAATCCTGTAACAACCCATGGGTAAGGACTACCCATTAATCTCATTTTTGACAGGAGGACATGGATGACCTTAACTTCCCTAAGGTCACAGAGCTAGAGTGGCAGAGTGTAGAGATTCAAACCAGAGGCCCCAGCAGATGCTAAAGATGACCTAAGGGTTGGTGTCTCCACGGAAGGGGAGTAGGGATCAAGACGTCCCAAGCCTCGTGCAGGGGAAACTCCCATTTCTCACCACTAGTGAGTTCAGTGAGGCAGGCAGCCCAAGGAGTGAGCAGGAAAAGGGACACAGACACCTTTCCCTCCCAGGGGAAGCTCAGGGGCAGGGAGAGCAGAGAGAAGAGGGGCCTGGGCCGGGCAGCACTGTGGCCTGGGGTGACCAGGTTTTGCCAGGCGGGAGGCTGCCAGCTGGCAGTGCCCAGGGACATCCAGGGGGAAAACCCGAAGGGAGCTCTCCTCCAGGCCCAGCTGAGAGAAGAGCCAAGGTAGTGTCCAGATTCACACCCCCCCCCCAGCCACATCCCGCCTCCCAGCCTGCACACGCCTGGCACTGTGCCAACTGGTAGGTCATGGTGCTTGGAATGTCCAAGTGTTGTCCAGGAGGAGTCTGGCGGCTCCCGGGAGCTTCCTCGCAGGCTAGGGGATGCCTATGCTGCAGTGGGCAGTGGGCACCAGGCGACAGGCGGTCCCTACAGCCCTCACATAAAGACCTGTGTAAGTATCTTCCCAGCTGGGCGGGGAAGTCCCACCAGCAAGCACTCCTGACCCTAGCGGTAAAGGCCACTGTGGAATGTGCTGGTGAACACCCTGTCAGTGCCCGGTGCCCCGGTCTGGGAACTTGGGGGATTCTTGATGGCTTTCGAATGGATGAACAGAAGGACCCCTGGCTGCCCCCTTCCCAGCTCCCTCCTAGATTAGAGGGGTCTGGTCACATGATGCCCCCTGACAACCTGGGCTCTCTCAGGGCTCCTGGGCGGGAGAGGTGAGCTGTTGGAGGACTGGATTCTGGGGGTCGCTCTGTCAGTCACTGGGTCATTGACCCTGGGGTGTGTGTGTGCCCTTCTGAGCATCTCTTGACCCACCTGTGAGATGAATTCGGGGGTCACTTTCAAACATCCGTGATTTTAGAGCCAGCTTCTCACAAGTCCCCGTGCCCTGCCAGCTCTTGGGCACTGGCCAGGTTCCTTGTTTTGTTACTTACCTGTGCCCACGCCTTCTGTGCCAAACCACCAGCCACCTCTGTGCAGGTGGCCAGGGCCTGCCTGGCCCTGCAGAGTGTTGGGTCTGACCCTGGGTTCACGACATCCATCTCAGCAGTGAAATTTGCTTCTGGGCCTCAGTGTTCTCCCAGGAGTTCCTTTGACTCTGCGAGGAGAGGGAGGGGTGCTCACTCAGGGAGGGACACAGGTCTAGTTTTGTTCATCTCCATGTCCCCAAAAGCCTCACTGGGCTTGAGACAGGAATGGAGAGGGAGGACTTTCAAATGCTTACACCCCTGACTCTGTAGGGGATGAAGGAGATGATTCTGAGCAGCCCTGGACGTGAAACACATCCCCTCGAGCATCTGGTATGAGTCATCACTGTGAGATGATGCTGTCACCCTGCACTGTTTTAATAGAAGTATGTCATCTACAGTGGGGGAGGTGATTTTTCACTAGTTTTAATCATTGAGGGGGATATATATATAGTTCTGCCACCAGGCATCCACTCATTCTTCCCTTGTGAGGATGTCCTTGGTTTTCCTTTAGAGAATCACCCTCTCTATTCTTAATCCCTACTGTCCATGGGCTCCCAGGCATTTCCACCTATCTTGCCACTGTGATTGGCTCTGATTAGGCCCCACAGCCATGCCTCAAAGAGAATCAATGAAACTTTGCTGGGAATGTTGTGAGAATGTGGATGTGAACCTGAGAGGACAAAAAGCTGTCTCTAAAGTCATTTGTTGTCACGAGAAGAATCTAACAATGAAGTCTTCCCAAAGGAAATGGAGTTTGAAAACAGGGGAGCACCCGGATCCAGCCATGCCTGAAGACATTGGGATTCATTAATTTCCTTTTTGTTTAAATCATTCTGGATTTTTGTTTGCTCCTTCTGCTTCTGTGGTCGTGGGGATGAACCCAAGGGCACTCTATCACTAAGCTACATCCCCAGCCCTTTTTATTTTGAGACAGGGTATTACTAAATTGCCCAGGTTGGCCTCCAACTTGCGATCCTCCTGCCTCTGCCTCCTGAGTAGCTGGGATTACAGGCGTGTGCCTCCATGCCTGGCTGCTTAAGTCATTCTGGGTAGAATTCTAGCTGCTCTGGGCAGACCACTCTGAGGGCTGGGTCCACTGGCCGAGCTTCTGTCCAGAAGAGAGCTGATCTCAGGGGTCCTAAGAGGCGAGAGCAGCCACTGCGGGGTGCAGGGGAGGAGGCTCAGTCTTGAAGGCAGCCATCATTATCAGATATCTGACGGGGTCTGCGCATCCGGTTATGCAACAAAATTACCCAAATTTGAGCAGCGAAGACAATTATGTTACCGTCTTTCCTGTTTTTGGGTCAGGAACGGGAGCAGAGTTCACTTGGGGGGTTCTTTTTCTCGCTGCTGCTGCCCGAGGTCACTTGGTTGAAATTCATCTGGAGGCTGGGCCGTCCCAGGGGGCCTGAGGGGGGCTCAGCTGGCCCCTTCAGCTGGGCCGTGTGGCCCAGGACCCCAAAGACACAAGTGCTAGGGCTCCAAGAGTAGGCGCCGGGAGTCCTTCATGGCTGGACCCTGCGCCCAGCACGGGTCACTTGTGCCACGTTCTGTGGTCAAGCAGTCAGAGAACCAGCCCAGACTCCAGGGCAGGGGACCCAGATTCCAGGTCTCGACGGGAGGGAGGGCTGCAGTGGCCCTGTAGCACCTCTCATCTGCCAGGGCAGTCGTGGGGCACGGACCCGACCCCTCGGCACTTGTGCTGAGGACGTTATGAACTTGTCTCACTTAAACCCGACGCGAGGCTGCAAAGCCCTGGGTTCCCTCGCAGCACCACCCTGTCCCCCAAAGTAAAACCAGTCACAAAACCTAGCACAGCCCTCTACGGCAGAGGCTGGGCGCACAGGTATGGCAGGGCCACATCCAGCTTGTGAGAGCAGAATGGGATGACTCCCAGAGGGTGACGCCCCATGCTGACCCCTCGCATGTTTGTGCCACACGGGAAAGAAGAGATCAGGGTTGCTTTCTGCCATCCGACGGGCAAAACCAGGACAATTGAGTGGAGGAGGTTACAGGGAAAAAGATTCTGATCCAAGTAAGAAGGGCCTTTCTTACAATTGAGCTGGCCCCAAGCCCAGGGACCACCTTGAGAGACAGTTCCCTGTCGCCACAGCTATAGAAAGGCTGCCAGATGCCAGCATGAGTTAGAGGGACAGCAGGGGTAAGTCCCCTTCCTCTCTGGGCAGACCTCCCATCACAGGTACCAATTGTGGGCTCTCGGCTCTCCCTTCTGGCCCTGCCTTATTTTATGGAACAAAGAGTAGCGGGAGCCAGACCTGATGGCGCACACCTGTAATCCCAGTGACTCGGGAGGCCGAGGCAGGAGGATCGTAAGTTTAAAGCCAGCCTCAGCAACTTAATGAGGCCTAAGCAACTTAGTGAGACCTCTGTCTGTAAATAAAAATAAAAAGGGCTGGGGATGTGGCTCAGTGATGAAGCACCCCTGGTTTAACCCCTGGTACCAAAAAAAAAAAAGTACAGGGAAAAGAATTTAAAAAGACTTACAAAGAGGACTGACCCTGCCTTCATGTCGGAGTGTGTTAAGTACCTGCTGCTGCAGAACAGATCACCCGATGACCCAGCAGCTGAAGGCCACACCCGTGGATGATCATGCGTGTCACTTCTGTGGGACAGGATTCAGGCCACACGTGGAGGGGCCAGCCGGTCCCAGGTGTCATCAGGGTGGCAGTCATCTCAAGGGTTGGCAGGGACAGGATCTGCCTGCAAGCTTCCTCTGTGTCTGCGGGCAGGACTGTGCTCTTGGGCTGTGGCCCTGAGGCTGGGACTGCTTCAGCTCTGCCGTGGGCCCCTCTGCTGAGCGTCACTGGGGGCAGAGAGTGCCCACCAGAGGGTGAGTGGGACAGAAGGGATGGCCTCGCATGCATTCATCTGTAGTGACAGCTAAGAATGCTGCATTTGTTCAGAGAGCGTCGAAGGTGTGAGGTCTCAACTGTGTGGCTCAAATAGTAAGATGACAGCAGTGGCCGCGTGGTGGCTGCGCCTGCAATCCCAGTGACCCCAGAGGTGAGGCAGGAGGATTGCAAGTGCGAGGCCAGCCTCAGCAACTTAGCAAGGCTCTAGAGCCTCTCTCAAAATACAAAAGGAATAAAAGGGGGGCTGGGAATGTGGCTCAGTGGTTTAAAAATGATTCAATTCCCAGGTTTTTGGGTTTTTGTTTTTAAATGACGGGCTGGAGCTGGAGCTTAGTGGTAGAGCGCTGGCCTGGCATGTGTGAGGCACTAGGTTCAAGTCTCAGCACCACATATAAATAAAATAAAGGTCCATCAACAA